TATTCTTGCATTGAGGGAGTACTTGAGTGGAGGCCCAATGTCCTTCTGCTACCTTTATGCTAAACCTATAAATGTAGGCACATAGATCTATTTCTCCATCCTCATATATAAATATATTTGCATATGTACATGACTTTATCTAGATCTCCATAAATGCCCTTTGCCTCCCAGCTCTTTCCTCTATTTCCCTTGACTTTTCTCCTGTCCCACTATCATGCTCAGTCCCCACCAGGGTTTCAGCAATTCCTCTTTGTTACATTACCCTTGATGCACATTTAGGATTTCTTCCATAAGTCTGGGTTTTCTGTTTAATTTTTTCAAGATCTTCCCATGCTGTTCTGTGTGGTCCTTGGGAAGAAGTTTCAATAACTCCTGGAACATTATTAGAAATTAAATTCTCAGACCCCTCACCTCCCCAGTCCACTTGACCTTCCCTCTGCAAAACCACAGACAGCATTTCCACAAGGCTGCGAGGGACAATGTGTGCACTTAAAAGTTGGAGATGCCTAGTTCTAGATAACTGTTGGATGGTAGATGGTATTTTGAAGGACACAAAAATCATTAGTAAATCAAAATGGTTTACTTTGGTGTCAAAATAATATTCCATTGACTAATCTTTTCTAGCATGTTAGTGTGTTCCAAGCATCATGCTAGCTTTTTCTGTGCAGTTTCTCATGTGGGTGAAAGGAGAGTGAAGGTGGAGGAGTGACTGCCCAAAGGAAAACCTCAGGAATATTCCTCAGATTTATCATAGAAGGAAATAGCTCGATCTCGTGTGGAAAGACACATGCTAAGAAAAGATATGCTGTAAGCATAGGAAGGGTGAATACTAGAGCAAAGATCATGGAGACAGTAGTGTTCTGTCAGATGCCAGAAAAATGTTTCCGTCATGGAAATCAACCACCCAGGGAAGAGTGACTGAATCCAAGGTAGCTCATGGACTGGAACAATCTAGTGACGTTCACTCATCTTCCTGCTTTCAAATTGAGAACAAAAGATGATGTAGGTTGCATGTTTTAAATTACATGTAAATGTACCTATCAATAATGTAAATGTATGTGGCTTTCTATGGATTCAAACCTTAGCAACGGCGAATTCTAACCATCTTATTATTGGCATAAGATTGTGTCATTTTAATGTGCAATCCTGAGCATCTTTCTTTTCCAGGAACATGTTGAAGTGTACAGGCTAGTGCAGGGGCTATAAGTATGTTCGGGAATGAGAGGAGCTGCTTTCGAACCTTGATTCTGACCTGATATGTAGATAATAAGTGGTAAGCCAAATTCTGACCACTTATTTGGGTAACGGTATTGGTGTGACTGGAGCAACTCACAGGAAATGACAAGGGAACTTGGTGAACAGAAGGCCATTAGAGAAGGACATTCTCTGATGCATGAGAGGGGTAACAACTCTCCTATTGGCATTCAATTTTAGACTCAAGACATCCTTGTGCTAGAATAAATAGTTCTTATAAATCTAGAGGAGACACTAAACAGTTCATCCCCACCAATGTCATGGGGAGCCACTAGTATAATTCCACTCCTGTGCGTAGCCATCTTGTCTCATGAACCTCTTCACAGGGTTGCTTTATGACATGACAGCTAACTTCCCCCAGGACAAGTGACCCCAGAGCATCAAGATAGATTGAGGGCTCAAGATGGTAACCAGGGTCCTTCTGTAACCTAATTTAGGAAATCCTCCCATTTTCAACTGACAGACATCCAGATCCAGCCCACACTCAAAGGGAAGCTATTGCATAAACCTGTGAATACCAGGAGGCAGAGCTCGCTAAAGGCGGTTTTGTGTTGTTGCTTTTTTAAAAGACTGTTTCCTTCTTGATCCTCCATGTGTTCCAACATGATTCTTTAGGACATGTATTGCACGTGTAATAAGAAAATAAAACTGCTAGAGGCAATGCAGTTAAATGCATGAGATCATTCTTTGTTCAGAAATAAATGGTGATCAGGAATGTCCCTCTTGTTGGGCATTTTCTTAGTAGCACATTTGAATGATGGAAGACAAGATCTATTTGTGGCCACCTGACCACATGTTAGATCATGTCATGAACCCATATCGGAATCTATTCTGCATAGCTTTCAAGTGTTTGCATCAATAAATGGAAGTGGCGAAACCTCTGCTGAGAGATAAATGCTCCCATCGTTCTCAGTTGTCTAACAGCCTCCTTCTGGCTTTGTTCTCCATAGTATGCTTGATGGCTCGAACAGACTTGATGAAGAACACAGGCTGATCGCCAGGTATGCTGCAAGGCTGGCAGCAGAGTCTTCCTCGTCTGTAAGTAGTTTGAATGAGAGCATCCATCTATTGGCATCTCATATGTCAAGTTCATTGTGATGATTGTAGATGACGATAGTTACCTGCACAATCTGTGCTAGTTTATTGTTGTTGTGTCCATTTATTTATTTGTGGTATGTTAGTGATGTGTTCCCAGTCTGAAAATAGCAGACTTGAAGAACTCCACCATCCAGAGTCACGTGACACTGTGATCCAGTGGGAGGTGCACATGCCCCTTTACCAGGCCCATCCCCATGTGAGAACCTGAGAAAGAGGCTGGTAACTAGGTAGGGTTCCTTTAATACGCCTGAACAACAATAAAAACCCCAACACTGCCCACCACTATAAAGTCAATCCCAACTGATGGTGATCCTAAATAGAATTTCGGGTGCTATAAATCTTACCAAGACCAGACAGCCTCATCTTTCTCCCAAGAAGTGGCTGGTAGGTTTGAACTACTGACTCTGCAGTTAGCAACTCAATGCCTAACCCTACAGCACTTTCTTGAGTGGAGCCTGACGTCACCTGCCGATTCAGAGGGCGCATCCAGCCTGGGAGAGCAACGTTCTCGCTGTTCACTGCAGGGCCTCCGAGGGGGCAACGCCGGTTCTCCTGGCCGTGCTGAAGCCGCATCCCCAACTGTTTTCAAGAAGCACATTTTCCAGTAATTGACCAGAATCTTCACCTTCTCCATCGTCAGCGGCTCTGTCAGAATGATGTCAGCCCCATGCCCTGAAATACAATCTTCAAAGTTTTCAGGAATTATAAGAACAAACAGCAGGTGCACATTTTCCGTCTTGGCAGCCCTGATCATGGCCACCACCTCCAGCTCCTCGGCCATCGACAGAGATGTCGTCCTCAAGAAAGTCATAAGAAGTACAAGGACTCCTTAAAGGGTCTGAAGCAGGTATATTTCAGGAATACACTAGGTTTAAGGCAGAAGGGTTTTAAGTAACACTTATGTTACTAATGACAACAAAGATGAAAACTCTCTTAATTTGTTGCTTTATTTATTTATTTTTAACATTTTATTAGGGGCTCATACAACTGTTATCCCATTCCATACACACATCAATTGTGCAAAGCGCATTTGTACATCGTTTCTCAAAACATTTTCTCTCCACTTAAACCCCCAACTTTAGGTCCTCATTTTTCCCCTCCCTCCCCGCTCCCCCCTCCCTCATCAGCCCTTGATAGTTTATAAATGGGTATTTTGTCATATCTTGCCCTGTCCGACGTCTCCCTTCACCCACTTTTCGGTTGTCTATCCCCCAGGGAGGAGGTCACACACAGTTCCTTGTAATCGGTTCCCTCTTTCCTACCCATTCTCCCTTTACCCTCCCTGTTTTGCCACTCGCACCACTGGTCCTATAGGGCTCAAATTTGTTGCTTTCATTAAAACAAAAACAATCAACTTCACATCCTGATTCAGAATTCACCTGTACTAAATTGGGGAGTGGGGGGAGAAGTGATATGTGCTTAATAATGGGCAATGGGCATCAGGAGAGCAAGTGAAAAACTGGTCTTCCCCTTTCACCTGAGTTAATCAGCCCTTCCTGCACAGCACTTAAGCAATGATCTCAGATGGGAATCTTGTCGCAGCTAAGACTAGGGACTGGGACATTGCTAGATACTCCCATGATTCTTAGCTACCACCCTTATGTCCTTCTTTCTCCAGTCCCTGGAGAAAGACATCATGTTTGGCAAAGTGACAGAGCAGCATAGCAGAGGAGGCCCTTCCACAGGGTGGATTGACACTGCAGCTCCATCGATGGGCTCAAATATAACAACAATTGTGAAGGTGGCACGGGACCAGGCAGTGTTTCATTGTGTCGCACATAGGGTCACTGTGAGTCAGAACCAGCATGAGAGGACCTGGCAGCAGCAGCCCCACCACCCCCAACCACCACCACCATGATCAGAAGAGGAAGGAAGCAGAGGAGCCTCAAAGTGCATTTTCTGGCCCCTAATTCTGACCCAGGGAAACAGATATAATTGAAATGTGTGAAGCTTTGAATGTCCTAAAGATCAACAGCCTGACAGAAAATTAAGTTCAAGCCAGCTGGCAGTCTGGGTGGGAGAAGAGATCCCCTTAGGGGTCATCTGAAGAGAGAGTCAAGACAACATTATTGAGAAAACCTCCTTTCTCCATTGTCCGGTCCTGATCTACGCATGTACCTCTGCACCCAACAGTTGCGTGGTGTAGTGAGACATGCCATTGTTGTTGGGGGCAGTCAAGTCGTGCTGACTCACAGAGACTCTTGTACAACAAAACAAAGCATTGCCTTACAACCCGTCCTTGTGCGCATTGCTGGGTTTGAGCCCGCTGTCGCAGCCACTCTGTCAGTGCGTCCGTCGTATTGAGGGTCTTGAGTAGCAGTGCAACTTTGTGAATTTGGGCTCCAGCTCTCTGTACTCGAACGCATTGTTTCCTTGGGGGGACTGCGAGGATTCAGGGTCTGGGGGCTGCTGAAACAGACATGTACACTTTGGACCTTTATTGTATCCACAAGTTTTTAATTGCAGGGGGACGCTGAGTCATTCTTTTTCTGAAAGGGGGGCAGGGTGTCAGATGAGTTTGGGAACCTCTGGGCCAATGGAAAGCACTACCTTCTGAGTTCAGTGCCCTCGTCTTGACGTGGGAATCGCCACCATTCTCATACTCACCATTCTACTTGTTATGAAAGTCAGACAGTCCTTTTTAGGGCCGTGCTGCATCCACCAGAGATCACAAAATTGCAGCCTACAAACCAAATCCGTCCCCCTGAAAATCGTCTGTGGTCTCCACCAGTATATTTTTTTCATTAACTCTCAGCATTTTCAAATCAGTTGATTTCTTCAGAACTCTGGATTTCCCACTTCCTTGAAATCCGAACAAGACCAGGACCTCATTTCACCTGGCCACAAGCAGCAGCGCGCCCACACGGACACCTCTCAGTCCCTTAGATTCCCTCACTGGCCCCTTTGGGCATCGGAGTCTGTGAGCCCGGGTGCGTATTCTCAATCTCCGGGCTCATGGTATTATTTATATGTACATTCACCTCTCCAATCTCTGCTTCCATCTCATTCTCAAGGTCATAACTTACTGTTGTTTCTTGCTTAATTACATCAACCTCTGTGACCCCACCACAGGAAAAATGCTACCCCCACATTAATGTGAATACTTCTGTAAATCTCTTTATAATAACACATTAAGAATTGTGTTCTGAACTCGATACATCATAATTAATACAATATCACCTAATTAGAGAAGAAATGGAGAGATCATCGCCTTGGAGCCATCCCTTTGTCGTTTTGATGCAAATCTCTCGATATGGCTGCTCAATGTTCTCCTGCTCATGATTTTATTTCCTATAACATCCCATCTCCTCACAGGAATTGTCCATCCTCGCCAAACCAAACTCACTGCCAGCGGTCCAGTGCCGACTCCTAGAGACCCACTGTGTGTCTCTGAGACTGCCACTGTCTACAGGAGAAAGCCCAGGCTTTCTCTTTAACCACTGCACCTGCGGGACTCAGCCCCATGTCCGACTCACTACGTCTCTCCTCCCCATCAACCCTCACCAGGAGCTCCCGAGGCAAGAAGCCCTGGTGGCAGAGGAGAGAGGGTTCTGTGTTGGGCTTTCAGCAGTTCCTCAGCGGGACTTTCTACTCCGGTAAAGAGCGACGGTCGTGGAAAGTCACAGAGGGCCGTTTTACCCTGTCCTGGAGGGTCTTTATGAGTTTGAAGTTTTTCTTATCCCTCATGGGTTACCTGAATGATTTAACCATTTCCTATGGGTGCCTGTCGAACCATGTACAGTAGAACCCATGAGAGTCCGAGAAGGAAAACGCAACGATTTGCAAAGCAAAGTGGAAAGACTGCACCCTATGAAAGGTGGAAGCTTGCAAGACCCCAAAAAAGCAGGTAGTCCTGTCGAGTTCCGGCTCTTCCACATTTCACAGCCTGACCCATGACCGGTGATTGTGCCAATTCTACTGGTCTAAAAAGCATTGGTAGCAAGAAACATGTCTTTGGATACGATACCTGCTGCAGTACCTGTTATGTAACAGGGGCTGAATCTTAAACGTACTGGAGGGAAGACTGAAGGACTCCATCAATTTAAAGGAGCCTATGGGCCCGGATGAGAACAGAACAATGACCTCATGTTAAAGACGTGGGGCTGAAACACTGCATATGAGACTAACAGAAGAAGCAATCGATTCGGTGGAAATTCTAATAGATCAAATGGGTCAACAGGGTTTAGTCAGGAAGGCAGATCAAGGCTTTGAAAGAATATCACAAATCTCCAAAGCTCATCATTTTAAGGTGTCCTAAGTCATATTTGGATATAATTTGGGATTTTCTAAAGGTCAAAAATGGAGACATGACTACATAAAACGGAGTGCCTTAGTCCCTGTGGCCCCGCCCACAAACGGCCGGCATTCCAGGCTGGGGAGGACATGGGGATTCCATCCACATGTCGAGTGGTGAACTTGTCTTCGTCCATAACCCTGGGAAAATCCAACTTGCTCACGCTCAGTGGCTTTGCCATCATCTAGGTCATCGATTACAGCAGTGGTTCTCAACCTGTGGGTCATGACCCCTTTGGAGATCGAACGACCCTTTCATAGGGGTCACCCAATTCAAACAGTAGCAAAATTGCAGTTATGAAGTAGCAATGAGAATAATTTTATGGTTGGGGGTCACCACAACATGAGGAACGGTATTAAAGGGCCGCGGCTTTAGGAAGGTTGAGAACCACTGAATTAAAGTCATCTCCACAATTGCACAATTACGCCTGTAAAGGATATTATCTGACACGCCGAAAGGACTGGCAAGTGATGTTTCTCCTTTGTCTTCAGATTCCGTTTCTACCTTTCCCCGCACTTAATGTGCGTTGGCATCTTTTCTCTTCTCCACATTCAAAGCTCCCACTAGCCCTACTCCCTCTTGATCTTGCTCCCATGAAGACCTTTTATGGGAAACTAACCCACCAGTTTAAACCTATTGGGTTTATTGACATCTTTAACATCCTTAGGCCTAATTTTTAAAACCAATCTAGTGTCTGTATATTTTTACTCGACCACAAAATACACAGTTTCTTAATATTTTATGAGTTGGTGTTGATTTTCTCACGGGGTTGTCCACTGTCGATTGATGAAAACACAAAACAGACTCAATAGATTCTTAAGCCCTTGGGTCCACAAACTCCTTGAGGTCAAAGGGAGCCCATTTTTGTACGATCTGTGGCCTGAGATTGTTTGTTGTTGTTTTTTTCATTATTATTTTTTTTATCTAGTGCTTGAACAAAAATCAAAAGAGAAATAATATTTGAAGGCACATAAACACCATATAAAATTTCAACTTTCATGCCAGAGGTAAACTTTGATTAAAACACATACCTTGTCTTTTATTTCCATATTGTCCACCTTTCTTAACATCCCAGGTGCACACGTGTTACCAAATGGCCTACGAGCTTGAAAACCTGTCTGGCCCTGAGGCTGCTCCCTTTTGTTCTTCATTTCACTTTTCAGCTGTCATTCTGACGTAAAACACGGCTTGCGAGATATTGCTACAGCATTGCAGAGCCAGTCCAGTACCCGATTTATCTGCATTCTTTCTGATCAATTGAAATCAAGAACAAAGCAAGGATTCCAAGCCACAACTGGATTGAATACGTTTCTACTGCTTCTCAGTCCATCGGTGTATGCGTGATAACATGTGTCCTGGTAGCGCAGCCAACTAAACACTCCTCTGCTAACCTACATGCTAGTAGTACAAACTCACCAACAACTTCATGGAGAAAAGGCCTGAAAATGTGCTCCCTGCAAGGTGACAGCCAAGAACACTGGAAGGAGCAGTCCCGTCCCATGGGTTGCAATGAGTCCAAATGGACTTGATAACATGTAATCAGAAGCGAGTCCTGGATCACAGGTCAAAGCTGATATCGCTACATGCCAGGCAAAGACAGCTCACCTCCCGCCATCAAGTGGATCCCGACTCTTGGGGATTCTATAGCGCACAGTAGAACTGCCCCTGTGAGTTTGGAGCCTGTACGTCTTCACAGGAGCAGAGAGTCTGATCTTTCTCTCAAGGGGTCACTGTACGTTTCAAACTGCTCATGTTGCAGTTAATAGTCCCGCTTGGAACACACTCTACCTCAAGGGCTTCTGAGTCTCTTAAGATCTAATACATAGGAGCTCAAAGTTCTTCAATAACATCATAAAGCATTTCTTGATTAAACGAACTGCTGATTAAAAGTCACAGAAAAGCTTCCAAAAGTTCATGGGAAAATTGAATTACAAGGTAGTAGAATTTTTAACACTAGCACCACTACCACTCATTAAAACCAGGCCATTACGAAGCCTGACTTTTCCTACAATCAGGCTCCAGAACATGAGAGAGCAGACGGTATTTCTCCATGTGCTTATGCCTTGGGCTGTGTCAGCAGTTCGAAACCAGCAGCCACTCTGAGGAAGAAAAATGAGGCTTTCTACACCCCCATGAAGAGTTAGTCTTGCAAACCCACAGGGGCAGTTCTCCTCCATCCTATAGTTGGAGTTGACTCAGCGGCAGAGTTCGTTTTGTTTCAGACATAGGCAAGAATGGTCATATTTAATAGCTTAGCTTTCTTTGATAGAATGTAACTTTTTGCATGTGTTTTAAAAACAAAATTCACTTGAAGGATGGTTCATTGACTAAACAAAGAAGGACTAAACAAAGAGAAGTATTCCAAATCTGGCCAAATTTTTGTAAAACAAGGACCAGTACACATAATATATATAGAGTGAGATAATATAGACATATGTAGTTATGCTATAATTTATTATCATAGTTAATATATGACTGAAGACTGGAGAAAGATATGATTGCATATGTAAAGGGAAACAAAGATAGCATTGCCACAAGGGTTCTAGTTCCTACATAGGTTTATGGTAAACAAAAGATATGTAAACACGTCTCTGCAATCCGTGACTGACGGCAGACAAGTTCTCTCAGTAATGCTCTTGTCCGATCTTGTTGGAATGCCAGGAGAAAAAAGAAAAAGTCTAATCCAAACAGTGGCTTCCGCTGGGCCACGTAAGTTCAGGCAGAGAGGCCAACTCACAAGGTTCTTACCAACAGAGTATCGTCATCCATTTTGTGGAAAGACGCAAGATGATCACAGGGGCTCATTAGGAAGAAACCTGAAAACCTCGCTGACGAGGCAACAGCCAGGAAAACTGTGCTAAGGACTGTTTTGTTTTGTTCTCAGTTCTCACTACGCTGCTCCCTCGTAGGTTTGTCCTAAGAATTTCCTTGAGAAGCCTGACCCACATACTCCACAGACTGGTCTTGCCTCTTCAGGTTTCCTTTTATTCCCCAAAGCAAGGAACATTGAAAAGGAACATGATTGGAGTCCGCCGAAGCTGCCGAAGCTGCCACTCGGTGCGATGTGAGAGAAAGAGCCGAGAATACTTCAGAGAAGAGTAGATGGACTAAACAGCCCCTTCTGCAGCTCGTCGACCTAGACGGAGAAGATGACAGGAAACAACAATTTCACGTTTTGATATTTTTTAAAGTTTTCTGTCAGTTTGCAGCAATTCTCTGCCGCTTACCCTTAAGTGCACCCCAGTTGTTGCAGTTGGCTACATGACTCAGAAGAATGAGGTAGTGTGGTGTGGAGGTAGAAGAAGAAAATGTGTATGTGTGTATGGAGAAAGAGGAGGCTCTCTGGTCCCACAAAGATTTGCAGCCTCCTAAACCAGACAGGGAGGCTATTAAATTGACCTAAACATGATGGCAGGATTTTTTTAAATGTTTGTATTCATGACACTATGTATCTATCCATATCAATGTGAAATGAATAAAGAAATAGTAATAAAGATATGCACAAAAATAAATTAACCAATAAAAAAGAAAAAAATCTTATTTAACCTCACCTAATGACCTAGGATATTTTAAATTATACAGTACATTGACTAAGTAGTAATCCTGTGGTAAGGCATATGTCCACAGGGGGGAAAAATGTTTTTCAAACCTGGCTATAGGGAAGAGATTAATTCCATCAGGCTGGTAGGGCAAGAACTAAATAGCTTCCCCAGGACTTCATATCAGATCTTGAGAAAACCATGTTCCCTGTGCTCCACGTATGTGCCTGGCGGGGAATTCTGTCTGTTTTCCATTGTAAATCTGTGCATCATATCTGTAGAAATGGTCAACCTTTGGAGGGAAGGGGAAACATGGTTGTATGTTGTGTGGAAGGGAGTTTTCTTGCTCTGGTCTGCATCGCAAGCACGTGGTACTTGTCTTCTGAAGTACAGGTAGACTCACCTTCCCCAATATTAATAATGTAAACTACGTATTTTACAGCAGCCGAGTCAGCAGAGAAACGCTCCTGACATCTCCTTCACCATTGATGCAAATAAGCAACAAAGGCAGCTGATTGCAGAACTAGAAAACAAGAACAGGTAAGACCTGGCAGCCTTTAATGTCAGAGGGGACAATCCTTGCCCCCAGGTGATACAACTGGTAAGCATGTTTGTGTATTAACCAAAAGGTTGAATGTTCAAATCCAGCCAGAGGTGCCTCTGAAGAAAGATTTGGGGATCTACTTTTGCAAAAAGTAGATTGAAAACCCCACAGAGCAGGATGATGCGCTGACACAGTGGGATCTGCAGGAGTCAGAATTGACTTGATAGCAACTGTTATCTGAAATTATTAATGACCTGTAGACAGGCTTTTTAAACCCAGAAAATAATCATGTTCACATCATTCAGATGTTGCCAACTGCCCTCTCTTCCTTATACTCTGTCCCTCTTTCTTTCTTTCTATCCATCTGTCCTGGCATGAAATGTAAAGTGAGAGGTTAGAGGTAGAGAAGAAGGAATAGACAGTCAAGGCCAAAGCCATTTTACAGTAACAGGAAAAGCAAATACATTTGGCCTGAGTTTCCACAGGTTTCAGCATCTCTCCTGTGTCATTTCTCAGGAGAAGACTAAAAGTGAAAGCGTACAAGTATCTCATCTTGGTCACAATATTTCTCTACTCTGTCTCTCCAGAGAGCCTTGTTGTCCTCCCCAATCCTCTGCTTCCACTCAGTTATGGGGTCGGGCCCCTGGGGGAAATCTAGACTCTGTTTTAAAGGAAATATCTCGGGAATTGTTGCTTCCACGTAGGTCTATTTACACTACAGGACAGAGAGGAAAGGCCGTGGGTGACTCGGCAGCCTTAGCTGTGCTGTGGTAGCATTCATTCTGCTTTCTGGCACCGTGTGCATTTGCACATTCTCAATGCTCACTTTTAGGACCAGAGCAAGCATAAAAAGAAAATGAGATGGGAAGCAATGACAGAAAGAGAGCTCCCGCCTCTCTCTGAGTTCCTTTGTGGCTCTGAGGGTTCCCAGCCCGTCCTCCCGCCTCTCTCTGAGTTCCTTTGTGGCTCTGAGGGTTCCCAGCCCGTCCTGGTGAGCAGTTAGTCCATGATGAACTCACCTCTCAGAGATGGCAGCCAAGACCCCACGGGCACATCTGAGAAGCTTCTGAAGGTCTCGGTCCTCCACCCTGAAAACTCACTTTATGGGATCCTTAGACTCCAGGGTGAAGTTAACCCAGCAATCAGATCCCAGAGCGCAAGCAGAGAGCAGGACTCCTCACATGCACTGAGCCCTGACTCAGTCTACCTAAGAAACTCACAGACCTGTCAACCATGACCTTCAGAAGAGAATGCTTCTAAGAGTTGGAGGAGCACATCAGAGTTCTTATTGGAAGTCAAACGAGTCTTCAAATGAATTGTATTAGTCACGGCCTGCCAAGGTTACACCTGTTGGCGCAAAGAACACAAATGTTGAGGTTGTCCAAGGGCACACTGTCTCAGTACCTACATGGGGCTCCAAAGTGAAATTACAATTTTTAAGGGATATTCTTCAGATAGAGTGATCCCATTCATTTGTGACAATACATTGATAGCTCTTGAAAAGTCTTTAAATTGTTGGGAGGGTCAGGATTGGCTCTTCTGTCTCAAAATTTTCCAATTCCCAAGGCAGCCTGATACATGTGGGCTGTCGAGCTGGTCAACCTGCATGCAGATCGTCTCTACCCACACTGTTGTCGATCCTCGGCAAGTTGTTTAACTGGTCTGTGCCATGCTCTCCTCGCCCAGGAGATAGGGGGAATAGCAGTGTCTTACTTGTAGAATTGTGGCACGGATTCCACAAAATAAGTGTGCAGCAGTGTCTTGAAGTCCAAGAATTAGAAGCATAGGGGCTCGCCCTTTCTTTAATCAAAGCAGGTTCCTCTTGAATGTGGGACCTACTGGGAATCCTTGGAAGAGTTCGCTTAAGGAAAGGTTTCCACCCTGGAACACCAAGGGGTTGGAGGAGAGGGAAGGGGAGGAGGGGTTGAAACCCACTGAATTATAATTCAACTACCTCATCATACCCTTGACAAGTGGAGAGGCTTCCTGGTAATTAGCCTCCTGGGTCCAATGGGTGTTTTTGAAGCTGCCCGTTGTAAATCAGCCTTTGAAATGGACAGCCATTACCCCCTGCTCACCCAGTCCATTTTTCACTCATGAGGCTTTGTTCTGTCCTATGGCTCTTATGGGATGAGAGACTGACAGCAATCCCCCCCCTACCCCCCCACACACACACACAAGAATAAGTGATTTGTAACCTTGTGGTTAATGGCTCCTGACTCACTTTGAGACAATTTGCCCTGCCCTGGTCACATCTCCTTTGTGGCCAGTCTGATGTCTACCTAAATGTAGCACAGCCCGACCTCAGCATCAATAATAGACTGACATGCCTCCCCCGCTGGCAGAGGTCACACCAACAGCATTCACATCACAGACTCCACTATAGTGGCTCCTGTTAAAAGCATCTTCCCTCCAAGCTCCATAGTCAAACCGGAAAACGTGAAGCTAAAAGAGAAAGAAAGGGGTTTGCGAACGAACAGGTTCTCAGATACGTAAAAGCTAAAAGAATTTCATTCTTGGTGAGAGAATGGGGTTTTTCCACTTTGTGAAGTGATCCTCGTGTATCTTTATTTTCCCTCTGAGCACCTCATCACTTGGTAGCGAAGGTCCTTTGTTGTGTCCAAGTCTGATTGTAAATAATAAAGACATCCACGTATGTCTGCTAAGCAGTGCATCTCCTAAAGTTGCGCACCTCCCCCTAGCATTGCACTCCTGATGGCCCCGACAGCAGCCCCTGCCTCTGAGTCCGCTCGAATCATAGCAGCACTGCCGAGCAGGGCAGACTGCCCACAGCTTCCAAGACTATCAGTCTTTGTGGAAGCAGACTGTCACGTCTTCTGCCCGAGGAGGAGCTGGTAGGTTCGAACTGCCAACCTTGCAGTGACTAGCCAATGAGTCGGCATCGACGAAGACAGTGGTGTGATTTTTGGTTTTAGGGGTTCCCTGTGAGTCGGCATCGACTGGAAGGCGGTGAGTTTTTGCAACTAGGGCACTACAGGGCTCTTACTGCTTAATATAGAGATTACCCCCCAACAAGGCAGTTTTCCTCAAGTTCCCACTCCATGTGCTGCACAAAAACCTACATCCTATGGAGTTTTTATGGAAGGACATCGATGAACCTTTCTTTTGAGGCATCTCGGACTAGGCTCCAGTCTTCAACCTCTCATTTGTTCCCTGAGGTGCTAGAAGTAATTCTTGGCCCAGTGGCTCTAACTCCACAGTACAGACTGCCCATGGTGTGGAAGTAACAGAGGAGCCAACCACAGCAGCAGACAGTCAAAGGCAACCCCAGTCAGTGGGTTGGCCAGGGAGGGTCGTTTCTGACCATCATCGTAAGATGAGCCTGCCTCTCTTTATCCAGCAGGCAGTATCTCTAATGGTAACTGACCCTGGTTCTTCTCGCCCTCCTCTCTCCTAAGAGAAATCTTACAGGAGATCCAAAGGCTACGGTTAGAACATGAGCAAGCTTCGCAGCCCACCCCAGAGAAGGCGCAACAAAACCCCACTCTGCTGGCAGAACTCCGGCTCCTCAGGTAAGAGAAGTGGCCCGCAGCACCCAGGGAATGTGTCAGATCCTTCAGAAAGTCGTACCGTGTCTTGCCAGCAAATGACCCTTCGCCACCGTGCACTGCTGATATGTGTTGCTTCTATATGGAATAGCACACACCTAGCGACTGAGACTAGGGCAAAGGGTGTTTGTATTTCACTCTTTCATTTCCTTTAGTGAAAAGGAATCCCTGATTTCTAGACAATGAATAAAATCTCTCTCTGTAAAAACAGAACATGAAAAAATATATAAATAAATAAATAGAACAGAACATTAAACACAGTTCTTTTTAGTTATTTACCCTGACACCGGTGCTGTAGGATACAAATAGTCTGCAACACAGGCACCTAAAAAGCTAACTCACATTCGACCCTCAACTTTATTGGAGTGACTCCACACCCAGTATTTTAAAACCACCACCAGCTTTTTAATTTTAAAATGAATCTGCAAACCCAGAAAGAGGAATCTGATTTTATTTTTTCATTTATAAATCATTTCATTGGGGGCTCCTCCAGTTCTTATAACAATCCATACATCAATCGTATCAAGCACACTTAGGAATCTGATTTTAATTGCTTAATCTTTGTCCCTAATTTTATATACAGATCATAGAAAACAGGCCTCGGACCTTGTTTTCTGCAAAGGAATTTAAAAGGCCGATTGGAGCCCTGGAAGTGTCATGAGTGACATGGTGGGTTTCGAACTACAAGGCAGGCCTTCACACCTTCCAGCTCCTCTGTGGGAGGAAGCTGGGGCTCTCTGCTCCTGTAAAGAGTTTCAGTCTCAGTATCCCACTGAGGCAGTTCTGCTCTGCCCTATACAGTCACTATGAGTTTGAATGGACACGGCGACAGTGAGTTTCAGAATATTGTCTCCAGGAGTCCTTGTGGTGCTGTCAGTAAGCTTCAGACTGCTAGTCACAAAGGAGGTATTACAGACCCCTCAGCTGCTCCATGGGATGAAAACGAAGCCGTCTGCTCCCGTCGTGGGTTACATGTTGGTCGGTTAGCAATCCAGATCCACCAGCTGTTCACCACAGAAAGACGAAGCTTGCTGTTCCCATCAAAATGGACAGGCTTGGGAACCCACAGGCAGTTCTACTCTGACCTGTAGGTTCCTCGTGAGTTGGAACCGACCCCAGGACGGTGAGTTTGGCTTTAATTATGAGTGTTGACTAAGGAGCTCTCGTGGTGCAGCCGTTCAGCACCTCTCTGCTGACTGGAACATTGGTAGTTCGAGCCCACCAGCCTCTCCAAGGAGAAAGGGCCTGACAGTCTACTCTTGTCCAGATTCCAGCTGAGAACAAAGATGCTCGGAGCAGTTCTACTCTGTCCTATAAGGTCACTCAGAGTCAGAATCAACTTGATGGCACACAAGTATGTCATGAAATATTTGAGTTGGAAGAGACCTTAGAACAGAGGTTCTCAACCTGTGGGTCGTGACCCCTTTGGGGGACGAATGACCCTCTCACAGGGGTCGCCTAAGCATATTTCTGATGGTCTTAGGAACTGAGACACCGTTCCTCTATCTGTCTCCAGGTGGATCCGCCCACATGCAGATACACCCACATAAGAGTACCGACGTGAAGAGTGTTTCCCATGCTACACCATGTTTCAAGACAAAATTTCATTTATTTGTCATTAGAAATAAGTATTTAACAATATATAAATACATACTGTTTTGTGATTAATCACTATGCTTTAATTATGTTCAATTTGTAACAGTAAAAATACATCCCACTTATCAGATATTTACATTACGACACATAACAGTAGCAAAATTATAGTTATGATGTAACAACAAAAATAATTTTATGGTTGAGGGTCAGCACCACATGAACTGTATTAAAGGGTCGCAGCATGAGGAAGGTTGAGAACCCCGGCCTTAGAAGGTCCTCTGGTCCAACCCGGATTTCAACGCCCTCCTCAGAGTAAAAGGCTCTAATTCTCCCCACTGCGCAAATGCTGCGAATTGAAAGTGTTGATGGCGTCCACGTCAGACGGACTTAGCCCCAGGCCTCGAATTGGACAGATACGTAGCATATTTGTCTAGTCAAGAACCCCCAAACGAGCCCATAGACAGTCCCTCTTAAAAAGGTCACCGTCACCTTTCACAGGGCACTTGTTAGGAGCAAGAATTGCACCCTTTGCCTACTGTGGTTTGGTTGTCCTGTCCCTGCCAGATCCACAGAACTCTGCAGCAGGCTTCCCATGGAATCAGGGCCCCCTTCCCGGAAAATCCAGTCAGAATTGTCTTCTCCTTCCATAGAGTGTAAATTAAGCGTACTCTGATGACCACGTTTTGGCTAGCCAGTTAGTCTCTATGGGTTGGGCTTACATGCAGATTAATCACAGACTTTTCAGGGCATTCAACATGAGCCCTGTTCTTCTGACATGTTAGCATCTAAACACTTCAGCACGTAAGATCCAGCCTTTCAGTCTCTGCTTGCTCTCTGGCTGGGATCCATTCTGCCTCTCCCCAAGCCCATGTACCTGGTGAGAGCAGCCAACCAAAAAGAGTTGATTTGTGGAAAGAAGTGCAGAAGCTGTGTGATGAGCAAACATTCTTTAGTGCCCTTGCATAACAAAACAACCCAGTGGAATTAGAAACAGGAAGTATTCTTTCTCAACCTCTGTGGTTTCTGGTCTTAGGACAGGGACCGAGAAAGGATGGAAACTTAAAGAAGAGAGAGGGTTTAAGGTGAATGCTTATCTGACCACTATATTTGCCGGATAGAATGGTGTAGGTCCTCCGGACTCACAGCAGAATTGTGTCTAATGCGCAGAAAAAAAGAACTGGATGAACCAACTCGAAAATGGGGCAGTCATTCTTCTCCACGTCAGAGTGCCTCATCGCTAACTGAACTGTCTTTTATCCTCTTGTGGAGGGATGATGGCTAGGATTTTTTTATAAGTATGTTACTAGCGTTTTTAAAAGCATTTGCTTTCAAAACTTGTAGTGCTCTTTGGAGAACAGGGACCTGGGAAGCCTCTTGGTGTCCCCGAATCCCTAGAGAGGGGTTTCCCAACTGGTCTCTTCCCTCTTACATGTGTTGGAATCAATTCCCTGGGAGTGGGTCATCTGTTTCCCGTATGTCTTCAAAGAAGCACATCAACAATGCTTGTAGAAGGAAAGCCAGGGAGACCCTGTCTTGGGTACTTTGAACATCAGGAGGGACCAATCCCTGGGGAAGAACATCATGTTTGATAAAAATAAGTCAATATTTTAAAAAGGAAGACCCTCAACAAGTGTGATTGACACAATGACAGTAACAATGGGCTCAAGCCCACTAATGCGTGTGAGGATGGCCCAGCCCTGGGCAGGATTTCGTTCTCTTCTGTGTATGGTCACTCGGAGTCAGAACCCAATCAAGCACCTAACAATAACAACAGCAATGTATGCTGCCACACATGCCGAAATGAACATCATTCTGCCCCATCCTCCCGTCTAACTTGTGCGCATATTCACCACCCAGAAGAGCAGGCTTTCTCTTCTCATCCATGGTCCCAGCCAAGCCAAAGACTCTTGCTCTGTAAAGAATCTTTGGCTTTTGACTTTCACTCTCAGCTTGTGGACAATGGCTGAGGCCTAAGACCTAAACCACCTGACTCCCCAGTTCCTTTTCCTCCATTTAAGAGATGTACATATGCCATTTTTCCTCTTGGACTTTAGCCACAAGGAAGCAGAAAGTCGAGTCTTCAGCTTAGATCTAGCATTTCAGTAGAATTATAGAAGAGGACTAGGTTCAATTTCCAGCCAATGCATAGCCACCACCCATCTTTCAATGGAGATTTATAGGTTCCTATGATGCTGAATAGGTTTCAGACGAAGCTTCCACATGAAGACAGCCTAGGAGTAAAGGCTTGGCACTCTGCTTCTGAAAACCAGCCAATGATGA